TTACCGCTGGATTTTCCAGAGTTTGCTGTGTTTCATTTTTCTTGTTCTTGTCGAAACTTGTCTCATGCCCCCCCCCCCCCCAAGAAATTGCTAAAATATTGCAAATGAAAATTTTCACTGTCGTGTTTATGTTTGGAGGCTGAACTACAGACAGATTCTTTCCCTCTGGCCTTGGCTTGGCGAAGTTTGCCACCGGGGGGAGGGAAGACAACAAGACAGGGGTCTTGAGATTTCTTTATGCATTGGAAACCGTGGTAAATAACAAAACAGAATTGTTACAGAGTAGAGTAATTAAAAGACAAAAAAGTCCGCGAGAACTTTCCCTATTATCTTTCCATCGAGTCGTAGCGACATGGAGACGGCATACTGTGTCGTGTCTCTTCCACTTATTTTGCTGAGCTTATACTTAGACAGTATTTCGGGAGACATCCCAAAATATAATTCTTTCTTGGTCTCTTATTCCTCTCTTTCACTTGTCCAACGCTGACGCTCAGCAGTCCAGGTGGGCGAGACAGGCGACTGCGGGTCGTCGGGCAGACAAGATGGGATACACACAAACACACACACACACCTAAAACATAACAAAGCCCTCGGGATAAAAACAAAAATATTCCTTCTCAGTCGTTCTAGAAACTGATCGACAACACGAAAGGTGGGGCTCCAGGAAACGTCCCGCGACCCAGCCCACTCAGCCAAGGTCAACGATATGCTGTTGCTACCCGGCCCCCGTTTCCCCTTTCCCTTTCTAGTCCAGACCACCATGGTTTACTGCTAACCAATCGCTGCCGCGACATCCGAGAACGGGGAACGGAGGGGGGGAATCGCCGCTGGAATCTACGCGCGACATTTCAGGGATTACAAACAAACACCACAGCAGCGGTGGTTTATAGAGGAGGGGTTAGAGGGAGAAAGAGTATCTTGTAGGGAGAGAGAGACAGAGAGACAGAGAGGACAGTGGGAGCGGGGATGGGGGGTGATTTGGATTGCCTGGACGTGTTCCAAAGCAAGCCCAACCCGAACCCCGCACCGCGCGGTCGACGTCGTCGCAACACAAGTTGAGCGCCGCCGCGGTAGTGGAGCATTCCAAACCCATAACCGAAACGATCGACTCGTCCATAACGACGCATTCATGCCGGGCGGTCGCGAAAACCAACGACATCCGCATCAGTCGTCGAGAACGGGGGGGGGGGGGGGGGGGGGGGGGGGGGGGGGGGGGCACATTTAACGCCGAGCAAAACCAAACCACGACGACGCGTACGCCCATTCCTCTGACACGAGCCAGCCCGCTCACGTCCCGCAAACAATAATGGCACGAGAACAACAACAAAACTCGCGTTCCACGTTTTTATTTTACAAACGGTCGCCGCGGGCTTATTGAAAAACAGCTTGCAGCCTCTCCCACGGCCTCCTCGTCTGCTGCCGCAGCCGCTGCTCCAGGCAAAGGGAGAGTTTTCACCCAGTTTTACAGCAGGAAAGTGTTTCGGCCTCTGAGGTCACGTGTGCGCGTAAACAAACGTGAACGTGCCAAGCGTGTGTGCGCAAAGAGAGCGCGCGCGAGAGAGACAGAGGGAGAGGGGCGGGGGGCTGTGAGAGAATGAGAAACAGAAGGGTGACAAAAGAGAGTGGCGGGGGGTGAGAATGGGTGACCGAACGAACGCACCCCCGCGCATTTGATTGTACGTGCGCACTTGTAAGGTGACTGCGTAGGTGAGGACGACAGGGAGAGAAAAGCGTCAGAGACAGCAGGAGAGTGTGTGAGAGAGAAGAGAGTGAGAGAGAGCGGAGGGGGGTGAGGGAGAGGCACACGGGGACCGCTAATGACAACCCTGGCGCGCCCGCGCTCACCTCTGAGTGTGTGTGTGAGAGAGAGAGAGAGAGAGAGAGAGAGAGAGAGAGAGTAAAGGGGCGGGGCGGACCACACCGCACCCGGTGAGTTCATTCAATCCAGTCGCATTTAAAATGTCGCCCGATAATTGTGCGTCCACTGACGCAACGCCGCCCAGCCCGGCCGGCGCAGCCACCGAAACCGCGACACCGTTTTACTCGTCGCGCAACCATTTCACGTTTACCTCGAGGAAAAACTCACACTTTATTTTTTATTTTTTTTCATCAAGTTTTGTAAACTCTTACAGGTCTCCCCCTCACGATTCCTCCCTCCGGAGCTGGACCGCATTTTCCGCCCATTACCCTGCTCTGGCCGACCTACGGCAGCGCACCCGCCACTCGATTCGGTGCTCCAGCCAATTTTCACGATTGGCAGAAAATGTACCCTGTCATGGATGAAAAAAAAAGAGAAAAGAAGATAGAGATAGCGCGGAGAAGAGGGAAGAAGAATAAGGAAACTTTTGCTTAAGTGCCCGTTCCCCCGCTGATCCTGCAGCATCTCCGCCGCTCTACCACCACCGCTGTGCATCCTGCTGCTAGCCTGACAGCTTTTTAAAAAAATAAAAATGGGGAGGAAATAAATAATAAAACGCGAAAGGGAAATAAGAAGGGGGGAAGGAGAAAGAGGGGAGGGAACGGGCCGAGTCGGCGCGGCGCTGGCGCCCTAGGGCGGAACAGAGGGCCGGCGACGGGGCATCCGCACCTTGTAAACAGCGCGCCGACAGACCACACCGACGGAGGGCTAATTACGTTAAAGTCTTGTTCCGATGACGACGTTTTTTGGCGGCGGCGGTGACGAAGGCGCAGCGCGACTTTCCGACAGTCGCAATACCTCGGCTCCCTCGGCGATGGAGTTGTGGCCAAGTTTCAGCTGCGGTTGCTGCTGGGCCGCCCGCCGGTGGTGGTGGCAGTAGCGTGCCGTCCCCACAAACGAGCTGGGCCAGGCGATCACTAGGAAGGGCAGTGGGGTCCTATTCGGCTGACCCTGCAGCCGCCACCGCGCGTTGTCGGCTTTTCCTCTTTCATCCGCCCCTTCCTCCCCTTTCCCATTCACCCCCTCCGCGCCAGAAACGTGTAATTGGACGTTACCATCAAAACTATCTGAAGCAGGAAACGCTGGCCGCAGGCCTGTGCGGTCAAAGTCAACCAGCAAAACTACCCCCTCACCAACTAACTATCATGATAATACACTGCGAAGGACGAAAAAAAAATTGTCGTATTAGTCATATTATTGAGCGAGATACGGTATCTAGGCCTACACAATCGCAGTAACGAGAAATAATGAATCCGGCATTCAAAGTTTTATTCTTTTCTGTAATATATGTTTGTAGAAGAGAAAACTACGTAGGAACGGTGGTGTAAAAAAGATACTGAAGAAAAATTGAACAATTTCAATTTGCAAGTCTTTGATAGTTTTTGTAAAGTGATATGTTCCCTAAAAGGGACCGAATACTTGAACAAATGTTTGCATTGGTGACATCCACGGCTTTCACTTTATCGGCACTGCCTGGATTAGAAGGCGACATCGACGGGATCCCTCCTGAGGCCTCTTCCAGGAAAAGGCAAAGGCACCAAAACCTCCTCCTCCCCCTCCTCCCCACCCACGAGTGTCCGGCACATCCCTCCACGACGACGATGCACCCCACCCCGACCCCCAACATTGCCCCGCGGT